CCCTCTCCCACTCCCCCTGCTTGTGTTCCCTCTCTCGCTGTGTCTCTCTCTGTCAAATAAATAAAATATAAAAAAAAAAAAAATCAAAGAAGAAACTCACTCTGTGAAAGTTTCATTTTATGGATAACATATACATGTGACTATGCCCATTTTTTCCCCTTTCAGGATGCTGCCTTATGGCTGTTTAGCGACAGGAGACCGCTCTGGCCTCATTGAAGTTGTGAGCACCTCTGAAACAATTGCTGACATTCAGCTGAACAGTAGCAATGTGGCTGCTGCAGCAGCCTTCAACAAAGATGCCCTTCTGAACTGGCTTAAAGAATACAATTCTGGGTTAGTCTGTTTATCATTCTTCTAAACAAACAGCCAAACAAGTAATAACTGTTCTTTCAAGTAGAATCATCAGTGTCCTAGAGGAAATGTTAGTGTTATTTATTGCTTTATTTCAGGTTAGGTCAGAATGACAAATAGGCCTTCCTAAAGTCTCACAGATGGAGCATTAAATTCTGCTTTATCTAGATCAAATTCAGAGCCTTGTAGGAGGTACAATCTTAGAATTTATGAATTTTTAAAATGATTTTTTGAATGTGTCAACTTCTGTAATTACATGAATATATGAACCTAGTAAGTTTTCAGTAGATTTTTACAATAGAAGTAAATGAGTTTGTAGACTGTGATTGCTCCAAATTAAAAAAAACACAGGGCTGGGAATTGTGTTATTAATGGTTACTATGTTGGGAAAGCCCTAATCATAGATAATTAAGGAATTTCACAGTGAGGAGAAAACACTGCAAGTATTTTTGGCTAAAGACTTAAAAGTCGGATTTATATTTGATCTTTGGCAAAACAGAAGGACTTGGAGAATTAGTTTTCAGATTTCAGTCTTCAGACCTTGTCTCTAAAGGGTCTGTATTACTAACTTCTAATTTAAGTCAGTGATTTTAAGTGTTGAAACTGTAATACTTAACTCTTAAATATGGAATTGTAGTGTTAGGTCAAAACTGACCAAAAAATGTTCTAAAGCCCAGCATCAGCCAGCAAAGCTGATGATCTCCTCTTATTATTATGCAGTTGAACTTACTCCCAACACCAGTGAAGCTCAGTCCCCAGGACACAGCAGTTTGAATGGCTGAGGTCCATTTATCTGATGTCTTTGAGTCTTCCTGCTGACTCCTTGCTGCCCTGCTTCTGCAGTGTTCACCCTCCCTCTCTTGGCTGATCCAGAATGTTCTGCTCATAGGGTTTTGGCAGCTCTGTGTTGCCTTTCTACTCACAATTAAAAAGGAAGCAGAAGTGTGAATTGGGTCTCATCCTATACTTTTGGAGACTGAAAACCTTTGTTGCTTCTTTTTTAAATTAATTAATTAATTTCTCTTTTTTCAGGGATGACCTAGACCGAGCCATTGAGGAGTTTACCTTGTCCTGTGCCGGCTACTGTGTAGCTTCTTATGTCCTTGGGATTGGTGATAGACACAGTGACAACATCATGGTCAAAAAAACCGGCCAGGTGAGCTGCTCCCCAGAGTCTGCCAAGGGCCTCAGTGATGCTATTGCTTACATACAGCACAATCTCTTGTGCAATTCAGGCAGATTCTTTAGTGATTCTTGGAGTCGTGTCTTGTGCTTTCCTTTTATTTCCCATCCCTTGTTTCACATACCATCTGCTTCATATATTCATTGGTTTGTTTGCTTGAAGTTAGGTGATAAGCACTTATCTAATGTTTGAGAAGTTATTGCAGTTGTTTAAAATGACATATTCTTTCAATATAAGATTTGGGGAAAGGGGCACCTGGAGGGTGCAAGTTGGTTGAGCGTCTGACTCTTGGTTTCACCTCAGGCCGTGGTCTTAGGGTCGTGGGATTAAGTCCCACTTCAGGCCCTGCACTCAGCGGGGAGTCTGCTTGGGACTCTCTCTCCTTCTCCTCTGCCCCTCTACCCCAGACTCTGTCTCTCAAATGAATAAATCAATCTTAAAAAAAAAAAAAAAAAGATTTGGGGAAGAATTAATGAAGAGGATCCTAGGACACTAAGCCAAGGGAAAAAAAGCTTTGTCAAGGAAGAAGATGGGCATAAAAGGAAATGTAGTCATAGTGTACTATTGGCACATAGCTTAGCTTTGAAATGTATTTACATAGCCTGAACAGTGTAAACCCACTGAGTATTGATTTAACCAGAAATTATAATATACTGTGCCTCATTGTATAGTATTACATTAGCACAAAGTACTGAGTCTTTACCTTCCATAATTTACTTCAAAACTAGGAGGTAAAAAATAAGTATAAACATACCATTTTAAAAAAAATGGAGGAAAAACCCATGAAAGAGTGGGGAGAAGTTACCTCTAAATAGTAAATAGTAGTAGCACTCAGGGTGTTGAGGGGGCTGCTGGGACAAGACTGTACTTTCTTTTTTGTTTCCGTATGTAGAAATATTGACCAAAATAGTTTGATATGTAGAACTATTTGACTTTTTAAAATCAGACATGTTTATTATTTGGATGCATTTTTCTTTTTGTTTTTTGTTTCTTTTTTTTTTACTTTTACTTTCTAAGATTTGTGTTTCCCACTGGGTAAATGCAGTTTAATATCAGGTCTGGGTTATTATTGAGTATAAAAGATCTACGAGTGTTATTTAAACACTCTTCCCAAGTGACCCAATAGCCTTTGAAAAGAGAAAAGGGCATAGGGCGGAGGGAAGCTCATCGGTGGGGCCACGAGCTGAGTGCTTTGTGTCACTCTACCCCATGTCCCCTGGGAAGGTCTGAGACTAGGGCCATAAGGCAGCCCTAACAGGGTCCTCCCTGAGTGTCGGGGAGGTGAGTTCCCAGAGAAAAGAGAAAAGGGCTAATGAACATTTTGTAATGTATGTAATTATCAAATCACTATGCTGTACACCTGAAACTAATACAATATTGTGTATCAACTGTATGTCAATAAAAAGAGTGAGAAAAGGGCTCAGTTGAGGATCAGTGTAGTGGTGGGGGTCAAGGACTGCTGAGATCTTAAACCTTTCTCTTTGGAAACAAGAGAAATTAAGTCCCATTTGTTTTCCAGCTCTTCCACATTGACTTTGGACATATTCTTGGAAATTTCAAGTCTAAATTTGGCATTAAAAGAGAACGGGTGCCTTTTATTCTTACCTATGATTTCATTCATGTGATTCAACAAGGAAAAACAGGAAACACAGAGAAGTTTGGCCGGTGAGTATTGCCCTCATGTCAAGGATAAACATATCTGACATTTTCTCATCTGACTAGCTGGACTAGCATTTCTTAGCTGAGATATTTAGATCAGGGAAATAGTCTGCTAACTGGGGGCTTTTGGGGAATTTGCCTGTCAGATTCATGTTCTGGTTCAGAGAGGAGGAACAGAATCTAGAAATTTGAAATAAATTACTGTGTTTTATTCCAATAGCACACCACTTTTTATCTGTCTTAAGACATTTTCATAATGAGATGCTGAGAGGGACAGGCATTTTGCTGTTATTCTAAGGGAGCCAGGGTTCAGAACTTTGTAATCTCTGATCTAGTCCTCACTACTTGTAGGTTTCCAAGCACATTACTTGTCTTCTTGTTTGTTTCTTCATCTTAAAATAGGGACAAAAATAGTTAAATTTTAGGGCTATTTTGGAGCACCTGGGTGGCTCAGTCAGTTAAGCCTCTGACTCTTGATTTTGGCTCAGGTCATGATCTCAGTTTTGTGGGCTCAATCCCCATGTCAGGGGCTCCATGCTCAGCGAGGAGTCTGCTCCTCTCCTCCTCTCTCTGCCCCTCCCCAAGCTCGCTGTCTCTCTCTAAAATAAAATTTTTTTGAAAATTTAGAGCTATTATAATTAGAGTTGTTGTATTATGTGACCAATTCATACTATATGCTTGCCAAATGATTGCTGTTAACCATTCCTAGTTCTGCCTGAGTTTCTGCAGAATATACCTCTGGGTGTTCATTTTTCCTTTTGGCAAAATTAGGGAGATAGCATTGGATGGTCCTCTTGAATATCTTTAAGAGGAGAGAGAGGGAAAGCAAGATGATAATGGAGGTGCAGTGCAAAAGCATCGATACTGACTTGGGGGGAAACCAAAGAAATTAGTCTCTGGAGTTAGACTACAAATCTAGAATCTGCAAATATGTTCAGAAGTCCTCATGAATTATAAATTACCACTTGTTTTAGAACTAGTTTTTGGGTCTCAGAATTAAAAAGCACAGAGTAAGTGTTAAATAGCCTTTTCTTAGGGCACCTGGGTGGCTCAGTTCGTTGAGCGACTGCCTTCAGCTCAGGTCATGATCCTGGAGTCCCGGGATCGAGTCCCGCATCGGGCTCCCTGCTCAGCAGGGAGTCTGCTTCTCCCTCTGACCC